AAAAAAGAGGCGGTGACCGTTTGGTGCTCCCCAATTCGTTAAAGGCGATGAGGTGAAGCGCGACGTTGCCAGGCAGTGAGTTAGGCAAAAAAAAAAGGTAACAGCCGCACATGCAAGCGAAAAAAAAAAATGGGCATAAACCACAATCAGATTCTTTCAATGGTCTTTTTTTTTCCATTTTTGTCGCCAGTCACCATCATCATCTATTAAGTGATAGCGAAAGCGAGAGCGTGCTTACGAGTTTGGTGGCCCATAATAGAGAGACAAAAACGGGTAAAAGTAAAACCAAAGCAACGTATTCAACGATGTGTGTTTGGTTTGCTGGGGAGGCTTAAGAAAAAGAAGGGCAGTGGCTTACTGCTCCTTTGCAACTTCTTTCGGTGGCGGATTTGTTTGTTCCCCCTCCTTCTTCTTCTTCGCTGCTCTTTTACTTTTTTCCCCCGTTTTGTTTTTGTTTTTGTTTCTGTTTCTGAGTGGTAAGTGGCAAAGGAGAGAGAGAGGGGCGCGCACGGCATCTTCGTGGGCGCAAAGTCAACCTCCTCCTCATCTTTTTTCGTGCATCTTTTTTTTTTTTTGCACGCAGAGAGCCATGTCGGCAGATGTGGTGAAGCAGGGAACATCCCCACCAACTGTGGAGAGGGCAGTGACTGCAGTGGAGCATGACGATAATGATATTGGACTGTATCCAGCGCCCATCGTACTGGTGCTACGTCACCAGTGGGCAGCTGAGGCTCTGAGTGCCGTGAAGGAAACAGAGAGTGTGGACCGCCTGAACCTTGTGAAGTCATATTACAACGGTTTTGTCACCATTGTGTGTCGGTCGCTTTACTTGCTGCATCTTGATTTTGTCGCCTTTTCCAGGGTGCAGGCGCAGCAAAAACTCAGCACGGGATTAAGAAGCACACCGGCCCAATGGAACTCCACTAGGAAAGTCGATGATCTCGCAACAACTAAAGCAGGCCGACGGTGTGCAGCAAAGTCATTGGGTGTTGATGTGGAACGGGAAAGCAATGAATATCCTTCAACGGGATTTCAGCATCGCTTGCGTGTGAACAACTTTCGGCGGATGAATCAAGAAATAATTGAGAGGCAACGGCAGCTGGCAGATTTTGCGACACATGAGATGCGAAGGATGGAAGCAACACGAAGGCTTGAAGAGTTACTTTATGCGAGAAGAATTGTTAATGACTGCAAGTCCTCCAAGGCGCAGGAGGCCACAGTCCGGGAGGCGCGGGACCAACAGCGAGCAACAAAGTTCAAGGCTCGACAAAATAATTTTCTTGCACGGCAGTCAAGACTGCAAGAGTTCAAGAAAAGGCAGCATCGCCAGTTGGCGGCGGAACGTGAGAAACTGCAGCTTCTCTTGCAGGAACGCCGCATCCACTTTGAGAATGAAATGACGGAGCTGCAAGTTGCTGCAGAGTACATACACGAGATGTACCGCGACGGACGTCCTGGGGACTGTGCTTCTATGGCGTCTGTGTTCCCCTCTCTACAATCATTCTTTCCGACGGTATTTCGCCAGGCGTCCATGTCGCGTTGCAACAGACGATCGAGGGCAACCATAAGTGAGGAGGATTACCTACGGTTGTGTTGTTTGAAGGGAGCTCCGATACAGCATGTGGTCGCTGTTGCACTTGAATCGACACCCCCCACCTCAATACCGCAGGAGGACATTTCATGGAATTATCAGCGGTCATGTAATCATCCGATACTCTGGCACTGAGTTTGCTTCGTCAGCACTGTTTATTTTTTCTCTTTTTATTTCTTCTCTGAGGATATATACTTAAAGTATTTACCGTATTTATCGACATTTTTTTTTTTTCCTCTCTCTCTTTCTCTCTTTGCCTGTATGCTCGTTCCTTTCTCCTGTGCTACATTGAGTACGTAATCACCAGCGGGGCGGGTGCTCCGATGCTGGGTTGTAATGATTTTTCCACGATTCAGGGTGAGAGGGCAGAGCGGCGCTAAAAAAAAAAATGGCTTCTCTATTGTTTTCCTCACGCGCTCTACTTATTTTGAATTTGTTTTGTTTTTCTGTGTGGACTCTTGTGTAGGGGGTAAAGGGATATATATATATATTATTTTTTTTTGGGCTGCCACCCTGCGGGTGCTTCCTCTTTCAGTGGGAATATAGTGAGACACTGCATGGAGCCCGCATCTTCAAAAAAGTGTTATTGTACGGTCACTTACTCTAATGGACACCTGAACTCTGCCGAAGAAAATTCGTGGGGCAAAATGCACTGGCTGGGTCGCTGGCCCACAAGCAGCATCCATCCATTTCACCGCGACAGCAGCTTGTCATGCACCTGCAAAAATCTGTATGATAATAATGTTAACCGGACAAATCAAGCGCTTCTGACTCCTTCACCCATTCGTCCTAAGAAGTGTGTTGCGTCGTCGCATATTTGCCTACTGCCATCCCCGTCGTTGTCATTTAACTTAAAACTCGATGTCATGGAGAACGAAACCGTCACGAACCATTCTTCCACATGTGGGAAGGTGGTTGCAAGCGTGGCAGCAGCATCGCGAGGTCTCGTACCCACCGAATTGCCGAACTTGCCGTCTGCCTCTCAGCGGATCGCCGTATCAAAACGAATTGCTCTAGTCGATGAAGATGACCTGGAGATTGCGCGGCGCACTACCGGTGCGCAGGGGGAGGACTGGATCGTGGACAATCAAAATATGCAGGAATTTTTTGGTGGAAGTTGGGACCTCTGGAGGGGCAGCGGGGGCGGCAATCAGTTCTCTTTAAACGAACAAGGCCGATGCCGCGGCAAGGAGTCCGTAATTGATTTTGACGTGGCAATGACGTTCCAGCGCAGTGGGGCTCGTAGATGCCGACGTACGGGTCCCGGCTTCGATGCCGTACCGCTGCGGGCATGCCGTGCAGATTTGGAACCATAGACTGTTTCGATGACATGTAGATGAACGGATGACGTGAATGTGTAGGTATATTCTTGGTTATTGAATAGGAGTTCGTCTTAGCTGAGGGAACAATATTGTGGGGTCTGTTGCGATGTATGATGCCAATGTGGGCACGCACACACAAAATGGGACATACAGCCTTAGCTTTTCTCCCCATACCCTCAAATTTATTTATTCTTTCTCTTACTCTTTTTACTTTTGTTTTTACGTGTGTGCATGTGTGAGCAGTCGTTCCTTTTGCGACCTACAATACTTTCTGTTTTCTCACTCTTATTCCATAGACCCAGTTTGTGTGTGTCCGCGCGCGCAATTGAAGGCCATGTGGTTTATCCTGCTCTATCATGCCCTTTTTATCCTTTTTTTTTCCGGGCATTAAAAGAACCTTTTCTTTTATGCGTGAAGCTGAAGTGATAATTAATAGTGGGCGATGAATTGAAGTGTAGTAGACCATATATTTTTTTTTCTTCGTGTGATTATTGTTCCTGGGGGGGGGGGGGGCATCAGGCATAAGTTATTTAAATTTTTTGGTGGGGAGCATCTTTACTCCTCACAATGTACGATGGCGCCAAATGTGTTCAAATACGTCTTGTGTATGCGTGTGTGTACATATGTACGTTTGTGTCTGTGCATCTGCACGTGTTTGTTGCACATCAAACTACATCGCCTGTCTTGCGCAGGTGGGGCCTTCAACTCCTCGGTTTGTGTTTGGCCTTCCAGCTTGGGTGGTACAACGCAATATTGCTGTGAGGGTTACATGCAGACGGTTGCGTCTTTATCCATCCCATTCCTCCTCATTCATCTGCCTGGGGTTTCTGAGAAAGAGGAAAAAGTAGGAAAATGGGACGAAGAACCAAGGAAGTGAACGCATTAAGAGGTGAAAAAGTTTTTGTTGGGTTAATCCCACGGTTTTTATGGTCGATGACTTTTGCATGAGAAAAGTGAGCCTCGGTACTTGCGTCTGTGCGTGTGGAGATGGCTAGAAGTGTCGCGAGCCGCCGTGTGGGGTGGCCTCGCTGAAGA